GAACAACAGATCGATGAGCTTAAGAACCGAATCGATGACATCGAGTTTGAACTCAACAGAACCAGAATTAGAGTCAGTTTTTTTTGTGTTAAAAATCAGTTAGTTTTTAGAAATCAAAAATATTGACTGATATTTGAATAACAGGAACAACGTCTTGAGGATCATCTGTACGAAGCGCGAGAAAAGCTAAGAGATGTGCAAAATACCAGCACTAATGCTCAGAACGAAGAATCCAAACATACGCTTTCCGGCGACGGTATCAGTCATTCAAAGGTCGAAGACTTGAAACGAGAACTCGAAGAGCAAAAAGATTTGGCACAGAATAGACTCGTAGAACTGGAACAACTCAATAAAGAACATAAGGTTTGTTTGTTTAATAATCTAAAAATTTAATGAAACAATTGCTTATTAAAATTACATTATTATTGGTTTACAATTGTATATTAGGATACATTAAAATTAGTGGAAAAATATAAAATGGATTTACAATGTTTACCCGAATCGGTAATACTGGACACACCAGAGTACAAATGTCTTCAGTCGCATTTTTCGGTACTATTCAATGAGTCGATGCAATTGAAGACACAGTTGGAGGAAACCCGGACACAGTTGACCAATGCTAAGAATACACATCTGCGACAAATTGAACACATGGAGAGCGAAGAGCTAACTATGCAAAAGAGATTGAGAACAGAATTGATGCAATTGGAGGACTCGTTAGCACAAGTGAGGAAAGAGTATGTATTTTCTGTTATTGACTATTGTTTTAATTGATTGTTAATTATTGAGAACTTCTTCTTTTTTTTCTCTGAAAAAAAGATATGAAATGTTAAGACTAGAGTTTGAACAGAATCTTGCGGCCAATGAACAGACTGGTCCTATCAATCGTGAAATGAGACATTTGATTACAAGTTTGCAAAACCATAATCAACAGCTTAAGGGAGAGAACGGCAGATTCAAGAAGAAACTGAAGGATGCGACTCATGAGATATCGAAACTCAAACACAATTTGGAGTCTAATCTCAATAAAGATGACAAGTCTAGGGATAGGGATTCGTCTAACGTTCCCTCATCTGCTGACGTTAAGAGCGAATTAAAGCCAACAACCAGTGATTCTGTTAAGGATGAGCCGCACATTAAAGAAGAGTTGGATATAATTGAGATCAAAAAAGAAAAGGTATGATTGAAGTAGAAAATAGTGTGTTTTTGTATGTAAACCATTGAATTTGCCATTAATTAAAATTAGACTGACGTTAAGCCTAATGTTAATTTCCAACCACAACAACCAATTCCCACGACATCCCAGCAATCATATCATTTAGGTAGTCATCAACAACAACAACAACATCATTCCTCACACCATAAGCACCATCACGGCGGCCAACATCCAGTCAAAAAAGAGTTGGACAGCGAACAGTCATTTGCCGAATCCAGTGAACGCAAGTCTGAAAATGATTTATACCGAGAGATTCGCGATCTTAAGGCACAGCTAAAGATGTCACAACAGGCACAACGAGAACTGAAATTATTGTTGGATATGCATAAGTCTGTAGACAAAGAAAGGAGGTATGGATTGGATAAATGAAATGGTTGTGTGGATTATGTGGACATTTGACATACGTTTTGTATTTTTTTTTCTTTAGAGAAAAGGCACAACTTATGGCCTGCGAGAAGAAGGCTAAGATCGAGTTGGAAGAGCTGAGACAACAGATGAAGAAAATGCAGGAAAGCGAGCGCAGAGATCGTCGAAAATTGGTCGACGAAGACATTCTCAGGAAACACAGTAAATATGAAGATATGATTCAACAGATGCAGAAAAATTTGGCCATTCAGAAACAAGAGGAAGAAGCTATGCTTAATGAAATGGAAGTAACGGGACAGGCATTTGAAGACATGCAGGAACAGAATCTAAGACTTATACAACAGTTACGGGAAAAAGATGACGCAAACTTCAAGTTGATGTCCGAACGAATTAAATCCAATCAAATTCATAAACTACTAAAAGAAGAGAAAGAGATGCTCACCGAACAAGTGATCTCTCTTCAGGTACTTTCTTAGCCAATCTGTGTCTATCTTTGCCAGAAATAGATCCCATTTAATATTTGGTTGGTTTATATAAACTGTATATATATTAGGCTCAGGTCGAGGCCCAAAATCAAGTGGTGCGCAAACTGGAAGAAAAAGAACGACTGCTTCAGAATAATTTGTCGACAATTGAAAAAGAGTTGAGTCTAAGACAACAGTCGATGGAATTGCATAAACGAAAAGCTGTTGAGTCGACACAATCGGCAGCTGATCTCAAATTACATCTGGAAAAGTATTTGGCACAAGTCAAGGAAGCACAGAGTACTGTCGCTGAAAAGACCAGTGCGTGGCAACAGGAGTTCTTCAAAACACAACGACTCCAAGAGGACGTCCAGTTTTTTAAGCGAAAGTACGAAAGGGCCAAAAAGTTTGAATTGGCCACAACTGCTGATGAAGTGCTTCAGGTATGACACCAATCATATTAAATGTCTTGAAATATATTTAATACCTAATCTTGTTGTCTGTTTATCTCTACTATTACTCTATATTATAGGAGGAGATCCGTGAACTTAAAGAGGAACTTACCTGTCCGTCATGTAAGACAAAACGCAAAGACGCTGTACTTAACAAATGTTTTCACGTGTTTTGTTTTGATTGTCTGAAAACACGATACGAAACCCGACAGCGAAAGTGTCCCAAATGTAACCAAACGTTTGGTGCCAATGACTTTCATAGGCTTTATTTGGCCTAAAAATATTTGATAACTGAACTAATAATTTAATTTAACTTAATAATAATAATAATATTAATTATATTTAATTATCAGCACTTATTAATTAACAAATTTTTTATATATAAGTTTCTACTATTTATTACTGATTCTCTACTCTGTATTTTGACCACTCATTAATTATGATTGTAATAAAAATGTTTCCCAAAAATATATTTCGAGTTAACTATTATTTTCCAACTAAAATATAATGTTATTATTTATTTTCAATAGATGTGTCAAATTTATCTCAATAGTTATATAATGATAATCTGTATCTGAATTATTATAAACTCAAAAAAGAAATTTTAATCACTGTTTTAATAATAATAATAAACAGTTTACATATAATTGACCTAAATTTCTAGGTTTAAATTGATTTACAAATAAAAAGAGGGGAAAAAATTAAATATTCAATTATATAGAAATTTGTACCTAGGGTGGAAATTTTTTGAGCTTGATGATTTTTGTTGTTGTTTACTGCTAATTCATTTACACGTATATTTTGATAAAATATATTTTATTATTACAGACATGTATTAACAGTATAAAAGTTATAGTCTCATAGTGTCATCAAAGTAAAATATGTCAACCTTTTTAATATAAGTAAATGTTTATATAGAATAATACTATTACATTCATATGTAAAGGTACCGAAAGTGGAGATATAGACAAACATTTAATAATAATAATAATGTGATATTATTTTGAAGGTCGTCTCTTACAATACAGTATAAGCTCTGTATTACTATTAGTCTATAGATTGTATGGAAAAACACTAATCTATTGGTTGTTGTATTAGTTGTTTCCTAATCTCAAGTTATATATCATATTAGAGGTCATTATCGGTACCGATATTATTATAGACAGACTACCAGTGCTTATAAAAATCTATTTCATTCAAACAGTGAAGACTAGTGAAGAAATTAGTTGTCAAAACTTGTCGTTGAAATTGTTTAGTCATATAAATCCAAATTCATAATTACCGATAAACCATGAGTTCGCCCATCAGAGTCTTGATTACCGGTAAATTGATTGTCGGGCCGACCCGATCGTTAACTCTCGTAATGATTGATAACATTATTTTTTTTTGTTTCTCAATTTCCAGGAGCCGCCGGTCAGATCGGCTACAGTTTGATTCCATTGGTGGCCAGTGGACAAGTATTTGGTGCCGATCAGCCAGTAATTATTCATTTGTTGGACATTGAATTTATGGCCGGTGTACTCAACGGTGTGGTTATGGAGATCAACGATTGCGCCTATCCGTTGGTCAAATCGATAGTGGCCACCACTAATGAAGCCGAAGGTTTCAAGGACATTGATGCGGCATTTTTGGTAGGATCTATGCCCCGACGGGAGGGTATGGAACGTAAGGATCTGTTGGCCGCCAACGTTAAGGTTAGTTAGTAAATGAAACGGATTTACTGATTGTTTAAATTTATCGCTAAATACAACATTTGTGTATCGATTAGATCTTCAAAAGTCAAGGCAAAGCACTGGCCGACCACTCGAACCCAAACGTGAAAGTGCTGGTCGTCGGCAATCCGGCCAATACTAATGCGTTGATTGCGGCCAAGTATGCCGCGCCGAAGATTCCCATTACCAGCTTTACGGCTATGACTCGTTTAGATCAAAACCGAGCGGCCAATCAGTTTGCCGCTAAACACGGCGCTGCAGTCAAAGAGGTATCCCGAGTGATCATTTGGGGCAATCATTCATCCACTCAGTTTCCCGATGTAAGCAACGCTTTACTTCGTGGCGAAAAAGCGCCGTTTGACGGACACGACGACGCTTTTATTCAGTTGATCCAAAAGAGAGGTGCAGCCGTTATAGCCGCTCGTAAACTGTCGTCGGCTATGAGTGCGGCCAAAGCGGCAGCCGATCATATGCACGACTGGTGGAACGGTATGTTAATTGATAGCAGATTTAATTCCGTGTCCACAGAGTTAATGATTTATATATAATTATGTATTTCAGGTACCACTGAGTGGGTGTCAATGGGTGTCGTCTCCGACGGTAATAAATATAACGCACCCGAAGGTGTTATTTTTAGTTTCCCCGTTACTATCGATTCTAAAACCAAAGAGTGGAAGATTGTTGACGACGTACCGCTCGATGATGTGGCCAAACAGCGACTCAAATTGACCGGCGATGAGCTGCTGGAAGAGCGAACCGAAGCCTTGGCGGCGACCAATTAAATGGCCGCCAATCGGTTCGGTGTGACAGCAATTTTTAGGGACAAGTTTTAACTGAATTATCCAACAATTAATTATAGAAATAATGTTTAGGGTATATATCATAAAATTTCAATTAATTTATCGGGCAATAAGTACAATTACCAATGTAATATATATACCAAATTATAATACTGTAATACCGGTAATTTTTAACTAAAAAAGTACATTTTATTTTTGATGCTATAATTTTACAATAATTGTAAATTCAGTACATAGTATAATGAATCTAAAGTTTCTAATGAATTAGTTCTATAATTATATATTATTTTGTTATATTTTGTTTTTAAAAATCAAATGATTTTATTTTTTTGAATTTTTAAAAAATTAATGTTTAGACACTTGAATATGTCATATATTTTGTTGTTATTGATTGGTATATACAATATGTATGTTTGTGTGTGATTTAGAAACTCATTAATAAATTTGATTAATAAAATTTGCAAGTGAAGGATTTTTTTTTAATTTGCGTTTTTATGACTACCAGTAATTATATATAGCTAAAAGTGAGTTAATTTGGTAAATAATATTTTTATTATTAAAATATTTAAATTTTATTATATTTTAAATTTATAAAATAATATTTAATTAACTAGTAAACTATTTTAATAATAATTATTGTCTAAAATTCTTAGCAATATTAATAAAAACTTATACTACTGTATAAACATACTATAGCTGTAAATAATCTGTAATACAGTACCGGGTACTTACTGTACAGTATATACACAGTAAAACTAGTGATATTTGTATCATAAAACTAAATTACAAATATATATATTAATAAATATATAATAATATTTACTAAATATATGACAAATTATTTCTATAATTTATTATCCATTAACTGAAATATACAGTATGAATTTATATAATATTTTTGTTTTTTATTTTTAATACAGTATCTATAGATATTAATATAGATTTTTATGATTATTAATTAATTAATTTTTATTCTATTTATATTACTTTACAATAATGTAATAGTAATATAAATGTTATTTTACTAGAATAATTGTCTAGAAATTTAAATACTGTATATAGGTTATCGTTTAATAAGTTTTAGTATTATGTATACTAAATTAGGAGACAAATTTATATGTGATTTCGAAATTTTTAATGAAAATCATCCATATAAATTTGATTATACATTTGATTTGTTTGGTAATTTTACATTAAGTGAAAACAATTGGGTAATAAGTTATTATTATTTATTTTAAAAAATTAAATATCTTAGTCTGTAATAAAAGTTTTAATTCAATTTAATAATTCAATTACTATTTATTTTTATTTTATTTAATAAAGACACCAAATTTTGACTTTAAATTTTTATGTGGACATCACTTTTATGTGATATACGAATTGGTTAGACGATCAAAATATGGGTAATTAAAATTAGTTAATAAACATATCTTAAAAATTAATTTAGATAATCTAAATATTTTAAAAATCTTATGAATTTGTAATTTCTAACATAATTGATTAGATTTTTAAAATTTATTTAAACATTGTTTAATTTAGCGTAATTCCTATTGAACTAATTGGAAATAATAGCAATTTAGCTTTATATGAATTGTCATTAAAATATGCAGAAAATAAAGTATAACTTATTAATATTATAATTATTAGTTGTAATCATTTGTAAATATATAAATTTTTATTAATTGTAGCAAGCAGATATAATTATAAATGAATATATCCTTAATGATAAGTTAATTGAAAATTTTCATTGTATTTGGCCATACAATGTACTCAACTTTTTTATTATTGGCAGTAAATACCCGACAAGTGTTTCAAATAGTTTTTATGGCATATTCAATATCCTAGATCAATATGTATGATTTATTTTAATCAAATTTAATTTATTAAATAATATATAATATATAATAGTTTTGGTTTGGACTTTTACTGGCAATTTTATTATGCAATTTATATTGTACATTGAATATTGATAATATCAACAAATTGTATATTATTAATTGATAATTTTAAAAAGTCTAACTTATATACAATTTTTTTGCCTATTATTTTATTATCAGTAATAAATCCAAAATTAAATTATATTTTTCAAAACTATGGTTGGTCATAAATGCTTTGATCATTACTTGTACAGTATATATTTAATGATTATTATTTTGTATGATATAATTATTATTATAAATAATTATTTTGTACTGTATATCCAGGTCAAGTAAAATCCAATATAAACAAATTACATTATTGTTTATTATTTGGTTCATTACTATTGGCAAAATTTTTAATATTGAATTTATTGAATCAGGAAATTTTATCAATTTATATAAATATTCCGTATGAAACAATTGATACTTTTGAACATTTATTAGATAAACCACAATTGAATATTAAATTTCTTATGACTGATTTACAATATGATTCATTTAAGGTATATTCAATATATAGAGTACTGTATATACAATAATTGACAAAATCTAAATTAAAAAGTTTGAGGACCTATAACTCGTAAACCAATAATACAATTTTGATGAGTGATTTTAGTTGAATCAATAGAAAGACCAATAGAGTTCATTTGATTGTCAATATGGCCAACAATTTATATAATATATTCAAATAATCAATTTAAAATACTATAATAAATATTTCAATTAATTAGGTTTAAAGTATTTCATCGAAATTGGATCATTTGTTTGCGAGTTATCTAATTTTCTAATTTAGATATACCGGTTATTGTATATATATATATATATATACCTATATGGGGCAACCGCGTTAAGTACTAACAAATCTATAAAGTATTTAATTAATTTTTTATGTCAATAATTTTCTGCTATCCGGTAACATATGTTGTGAATTTTGATATTGAATTTAAAAATTATTGTAATTTTAATACTTAGAGTCGTTGATTTTTTTACTAAATAATTTTTATGAGTTTTCTTGTTTTAATAAATAATAAACAAAATATAAAGTTTTAGTGAAAGTTGAAGTTTATTATAAAATTGTCATCAAAACGTAGTGTCGTTAGGCTTTTCTACTCAAATAATATTTTTATGATTTTAAATTTATTTATGAAAAATTAATATTTGAAAAATCGTGTGTTAATTTTTAAAGTCATTTCTAATTTGGAATAAAGAATATTTAATTTTGAATATAATATAATATATCACTTATTTTGAGGACCTTTTGAAATAGGGTTGGGATAAGAATCACATTTTATTTTGATAACTAATTTAAGTAATGTTACTTAAAATTTTTGTTAACATCAATAGTTATGCTAACACTTACAGCGGTTGTCTATAAACATGTATTTAAGAAATTATAAATTAAAAAAATATATTTAATTCTAACATTTGGTTATTTACACACAAAGAATAAATCTAATGAAATTGAAAATCAATTGATAAAACGATCCATACTATCGGTCGACAGTAAGCCGTTAATAAATTTGGGTTACAATGAATTGGCCAAAAATATTAATCCATTGATGAAAGGCGTTCAAGAAAAACTATCACTGATTGTTATAATGGCTTTTGATTTCATTAGTTTTGTTACACACAGTCAACACCGTAATCAACGGTTACATATATCCAGTCGGGCCTATCAGTACACCAGTTACGCACATTTGACATATAAGCACAGGGATGACAAACATATCATTCATAAACATTACAGAAATATGTATGTTTTTTTAGGTTTAATGATACCTAAAAATTTATACTGTAATTAAATGAATTAATAATTTTGGTTAATATTTAATGATAACAATCTACCCTCTCGTAGACTGTTAGCCGGTCGCGAGTCTGGTCTATACAAAGTCTGGACCGAGGCTTTTGTAGATTATGGTCAACAATATCTACAGACTGATGATCCATATGAAGAGTCTGTATCCGATCCCTATGATAATCATATGGAAATGGATTCACTTAAAATAGCTGTCGGGCCATACATGTCTATTATGATAATTGCTATTGGTGCTTTTATAGGCGAAATTGTTTTTAATTTATATTTTTAACTGTTATTAAAATTGAATGTTATAATATTTGCACACTAATTTGTCAATTAATATTGATATTCAAAAATACATATTTTATATAATATTGTTAAATCAGTCTATTAGTAGTTTTGCAATCAGTCAATGATTATTAACATAATTATATCATAAATAGTTATTCAATGATTATTCTATAAATTATACTAAATATTAACTTACAAATAAAATTTTAGTTACTTAATACATAATAATTACAATTAATATACTACAACTAAATATTTTTAATTTATATTTATTAGTTGCAATAATATTAATTAGAATTATAATACAAAATAAATAATAATCTAAATTAAATCTAAAATCTAAGCAAAATTTTTTAAAAGTGTAATCTATTTTATTAAGAATTAAGTTATTAAAAATGATTTAATTTTATAAGTAATTTGATTTAAATAGTAATTTCAACTTTTTAAAAATTAAATACAATATTATTTTAATATTCTATTGTGCAATGAATTATTGTCTAATAATAACTTCTATAAATATCTTCTATATATTATTTTTACAGTATATTTTATAGTATTATAATACAAAATAATAAATCAATAATATTATTAATTACTATTTAACAACTATAAATATTACAAAACATATTTTTATAATTTACTATTTAATTACTTAAATGTATATTTAATTACTATTTTATTATTTTTTTATAATATTGAATGTAGAGTTGGTATAAAAGGAAATTTCTAAAAATATTAAGAAATTTTTATTTTGTTCTTTCGATACTTTTTATTATGTAACTAACTATAATTATTAGTATAGATTAACGATTATTGTATTTTAATTAATTTATAATCACTGCTAGAAAATTATTTCAATTTAATATATATATATTATTCTTTTTTAAATTAAATTAATTATAAATCTAAAAATTTATAATAAAAAATCAAATTGTTTGTATATTATTGATATATTAATATATTGAGGATTTAATTTTATGGGAATCTTATCATAATAAAAAGTAATTTCTATAGAAATTGATTTGAAAATATTTTTTTTGAGAAATTTTCTTAGAGGAATTTCTAAATGTTAAAATAGATTTATTATTATTTATTATTAACTTTTTGATTTTAGCAAAATTAATTTTGATCGTACATTTAATATAATATTAAATTATTAGTTACTAAAATTTGTGGATATTATAGAAGATAACATTAACTTTGTATTATTATCATGTATGAAAAAATGGGACCAAATGCTATATGTGATTTTAGTATATTTACTGAAAATCATCCATATAAATTTGACTATACATTTGATATACTTGGTAATATTACTTTCACTGGAATCAACTATGTAATAAATTATTTATTAAATTTAAAAAAACATATTGAATAGAATATTTTTCAAACAATTAAATTTTACTATTTTTTGAAAATTTTTATTAATTTTAATAAAGACACCCAATTCTGACTTAAAATTTCTATGCGGACATCATTTTTATATAATATACGAATTGGTTAGACGATCCAAATATGGGTAATAAAAATACAAAAAAATGATAATTTATAAATAAACTATAAATTTATTAACCATTGTTTTAAATCTATTAGCATAATTCCTATTGAAATTATTGGCAATAATAGTAATTTATCGAGTTATGAATTGTCATTAAGATATGCACAAAATAAAGTATAAATAAATTTAAAAAAATTGTATAATTATGAGTAAACTAAAAAAATTGACTTAATTGTAGCAAGCTGATATAATTCTAAATAAATATATTATTGATGATAAATTGGTAGACGATTTTCATTGTATTTGTCCATACATTGTACTAAACAATTATATTATTGGCAGCAAATACCCGACAATTGTTTCAAACAATTTTTATGGCATTTTCAATATTTTAAATCAATATGTATGTTAAAAAAAGAAGTTCAATTTTACTATCAAAAAAATAATTGAAATTTTTATTTATTATTTTAAACTAAATTAATAGTTTTTGTTTGGAATGTTTCTGACAATTTTATTAAGCACTATGTATTATACATTGGACCATGATAACAAATTTGATTTGTATATTATATATAATAATTATTGACTAATTACAAAAAATTATGCATAATTTTATTATTATTTAATATTAGCAGTAATAAGTTGACAATTAAATTATATTTTGGAAAACTATGGTTGGTCATAAATGCTTTAATCATGAATTGTACAGTAATAATATAATAAAATTATTATTTACTATATTATAATTATTTTTATTAACAAAACATTTTATTTTGTATCCAGATAAAGTAAAATTCAATATAATCAAGTTTTCAAATGGTGTATTGTTTAGTTTGTTACTATTGGCAAAATTTTTTATACAAACTTTGCTCAATCAGGAAATATTATCAATTTATATAAATAGTCCATTTGAAACAATTGACACATTTGAACAATTATTAGTTAGACCACAATTGCATATTAAATTTCTAATGTCAATAACACAATTTTATTCATTTAAGGTTTGAATAATTTTTGAATAATTAAAAATTTTGATAAAAAAAACTAAATCAAAAAATAATAACATTTAAGAATAAGGCCAATGATATTGAAAATCAAGTCATACAACGGGCTATAAAATCGGGTGATTATATGCCACTATTGGACAGTGGTTTCAGTGAAATGTCGACAAAGATTACTCAAATGTTGAGAGATAACCAACAAAAACAATCACTGGTTTTCATTATGGCTTTCGATTACATTAGTTTTATTATAGACAGTCAACACAGTAATCAGAGACTACATGTTTCCAGTCGGGCCTATCAGGAGACCAGTTATGGACATTTATATTATAAGCACAGGGATGACAATAATATAATTTATAAACATTACAGAGAAATGTATGTTAGTTAATACGTTAGATTTAAAAACACCTAAAAAATTATATATGAATAATAATTTCTATATTTTGTGATAATAACTATTTAACCCTTACGCTCCCCCTTCCCCTCCCCCATAGACTGATGGTCAGTCACGAGTGTGGTCTATACAATATCTGGTACGAAGCTATAAAGGATGTCACTCAACGAAACATAAGATCAGATGATTCATATGAAGATTTGGTATCCGATACCTATCCTAGTCGTATGGAAATGGATTCAATTAAAATAGCTGTCGGACCATACATGTCTATTATGATAATTGCTCTTGGTGCTTTTATAGGCGAAATTATTTATCATAATTGTCATATTGACTCCTAATTTAATATATCATTGTAAATAAATAAATAAATATTTAAACCTTATCTATACAATATTGGTATCAAATATATTATTATAATTAGTAATTAATTATTAAATTATTTTTTAAAAATAAATTCAACAAATATATAAATTAGAAAAATTTATTATCTGTAGTTTTTATCTATTAAAACTAAAAACTATAATCTAATTTACTATAATATTATTATATTAGTATTAATAAATATCTTAATTATTAATATTAACAATAAAAATATGAAATTAATTTAAGTTAAACTTTTTCTTCTTGAAGTCCATGTTTGAAGAACATCATAATCGGCACTTCAGCCGAACCGTCCTCTTTCTGTCTGTACTCTAGAAGACCAACCATACCGTCGGGATTAATACTTTCGCCTAAAAAGAACTGCAAATCTCCGATTTTCGGTAAAATCTTTTTGACCGCTTCGGTCAGCTTAGACTTTGCCTCAATAATCTGGCCATCCGTCCACTCGAGACTCTTCCACTTTTCCTGAAGATCTTTTGTATACGTCTTCAGATAATTTTTGTAATCATTTTTACTAAAACCTGTTTCAGATAGTCTTTGATTTAGTACCAAATCGAGACCCGTCTCAACCGTTTCGTCAGTGCCTACATCTCCATCGACTCCATCATCAGCTGATGGATTAAAACCGGCGATCTCTATCTCTCCTTGTTTTCTGGTCACAGGTCGACACTCTACTTCATAAAGGCTATCATCAATCAGTCTTACTTTGGAAGAGTCGGTAAACATCTCATCGCCGGTCAATAAATCCTTATAAATAATCATTTTGTGTTAATTGATTTATGTATATACAGTATAAGATATCCGATGATGACTACAACAAGTGTATACAATAAGTTTTGACTGAAAGGACAGTATGTTTGTACAATTTGACAGACAATATATAATAGGAAAAGGAAGTCAATTGATTTTATTTATTTATAATATAATTATTTTATTAATATAGTATTAATTTAAATACAATGTTATTTAAAAAATTTAATATTTATATTCAATAATTATTATTAGTCATAACTAGACTCATAATTGTTATCATTTATGGGGAATATTCCTGTTATCAAAAATATTTTCCCACTGTATTTGAATTTAATATTAATACAAAATTCTTACCTATACATTATATATATTAATATCAATAGTATTTAATCATACATTATCTACTTTATATTCATATACTTATTATATACTAACTATTTTATCAATGGTATGAGTCATTATTTATTACTTTAGATTTTAATTTTTTTTATTATACTACAGTAGTATAAATTTTTAGATAACAAATTATGTTTTGTACAGTATTTTTATAGTTATTTACTAATGAATGTTTTTTAAAAAAATCTAAATTATATTATATTCAATTATATATGTTGTAAATAAATAATTTCAAAAAATAAAACTATACTTTTATAAAAAAATAAATAAAATATGCAAAACAAATAAAAAATAAATAATTATAAGTGTATTTTTTTGAGGCAAAGTCTAAGTAGGCTTCAAGTTTAAATGCATACAAACAAAACAATATAAGTTTAAAATTTAATTATTATAGTTCAGAGAAAACATTTATTTATTATTTAATACAAATTATCATTTATAATATAAATGAGTATATAATTTAAGGAAAATTAATAATAAAATGTCAATATAATGAATAAAAAAAGTAAAATAAATAATAATAAAAAATAATATCAATATCATGAAACCATTAATAATACAATTATGATATATTAATCTCTAAAACGATAATTAATAATATATTATTTGAAGGAAAACAACATTAATTTTATGTCAATAAACTTTCAACAAAACAATAAAATTGAACTAATGTTGTTAATATATTAATTTATAATATATATTATACCTATATGAGTATTATTGCTGTAATAATTCACACCATTAATTAGTGTAAAAATTGATACAATTTTTAAAACATTAATTATAAGTGACACAAATAGTATTTTATATGATTTTTATCAAATAAATAAATATATTATATTTTTTGGTAAATTAATAAATTTTGAAATTAAAAAAATATAAGTTTGCTTAATTAGTGCACAAAATAATTATATAATAATTAAATCAATGATTTAATTCATTTATTAATATTTAAAGTGATTTTCCCGTGAATTTAATTTCGTCAGTAAATTACTGGTAATTATTTGCTGAAAAAGTTTGCATTTTTTGTTGTTTAACGGGGAAAGTAAGACAACATATAAATGAATTTCATTAACATTTTTGTTAAACAACTTTAAGGTTATTATATGTGAATGAATGAGTGAATAGTGAAAAATAAGAAATAGTAAAAAAAACATTTTAATTTTTAAAAATTTTATTTGTTATTAATTTATAATTGCATTTAGACATTGTTATTCAAGTTTTAATACAAGTTTATATTGAAGTTTTATACTGTATTATATTATTATATACTGTATACCGCTATAGGGAATATCCTATTAGTGAAATACAGTAAATAAAATTTATTATAATTTTATTTATTTATTTTAATTTCATATTTTTGACATTCAATCACAAGTTATAATAAAAATTGCTAATAAAATAAAATATAATAAAAAAATTATTCAAAGTATATACTATATTAATATTCAATGATATTATATTTTTTATGTGTGTATTCATAAAATTTCAAATATACGCCTAAATAATAAGTCATATTCAGTATAATAGTCACTACAATATATATCGTGAGTTTGACTAAACTTTCCCAACTATAATACATAGGGATTGTGTTTATGTATTATAATAATTGGGATTAGTTTTATATGTAATATACTGTATATAATATAATAATATTTCAAATTATATTTTATATATATGTTTTAAACGCAAAGTTTTATTTTTTATTTTATTTTATCTATTAAAATGTCTCTCATTTGTTGTAAATATATTTTATTTAATAATCTCATTGTATGCTTGAATTTGAATTATTGATCTCACAATATAAATACATTTCTCTCTCTCTCTCTCTCTCACTCACTCTCTCTCTCTCTCTCTCTCTCTCTCTCTCACTGTTTCTCTATTTATGTGTTAAACATCTGTGAGTTTGAAAAATCATTACTACTATTAGTAGTATTATTATTATTACAGCAGTAGTACTCACAATAACAACAACACAACAAAACAACATTTGTTACACAAAAAACATTACACAAAAACTCTCGCTTATGTAACAACACAACCAACACATGCGATACCGACAACACATATAAATAATATGTTCAACAAAAATAAAATATATTCAAATTACTGACTGATTTTAATCAACGAAAAAAAACAAAATGTATAATTTATTTAATAGTATGCTGTTATATATGTTGTTGTGAAATATATATATATATTATACTACAAGTGCTCTGGGAGTCGGTCACCAGTTTTTTTTAATCTCTCTCTCTCTCTCTCTCTCTCTCTCTCTCTCTCTCTCTCTCTCTCTCTCTCTCTCTCTCTCTCTCTCTCTCTCTCTCTCTCTCTCTCTCTCTCTCTCTCTCTCTCTCTCTCTCTCTCATTCGTGTGTATCAATTAGTATCAATTATATACTATTAGAAAATATTTGTGTTATCAGCAAAAATTAAATATACATACACTGTATACAGTCATATATGATTTGATATATGATAGCATCATTAATATACAGTATATATCATTCATACATACATACAGTACATGTGATGATTTGTGATAAACATGCTAAATGTATTTTTTTTAAAAAATATATATCTATATTGACAATTGGATTTAAATTATATACTACAGTATGTGTAATATATAATTTTAAACTAGATAATTAGTTAAAATTGCAATTATATATAATTGATCTAGTATAATTGCAATTGAATACAATTTTTAATGTATTGTTGTTGTTATTACGATTATTATCATTGCATTATAATTTTCAACAACAATCATGTTTGCCATGTATATTAAATAATTAAATTATTTATTAAATTAAAATCATCATTATCATTAAATTTTCTGTCTATGTAAGTATGTTTTCATTGTTGATTTTACATTTATATATATATAAATATTATATTTAAAAAACATTGTATTTGATGAGCACTTTTTATAAAGTAAACATTTGATTTTTTAAAAAGTTATTTGCTATTAATAATGAACATAAAAATATTTTTTAAATAATAATATCAATAATACTGTAATAATAATAATGACAACAATTGACATACATTTATGTGGGTATGTATTGAATAGTTAGTGTAGTAAATGAAAATAATTATGAAAAATGTCTATTAGAAAAACTCGTATGATTTTTCTTTAAAAAATTATTTTATATATAATATATATAAACAGTATTTATATAAAACGTATGATAATATTCAATAATAATAATAATAATAATAATAATAATAATAATAATAATACTGTAATAATATGGGTATTAATATCAATACATCAAAATATGCACTTCAATGTACTAACCAATGTTTTAAAAACTACTGTAATGTTCATTGATTGTTGTATTTTTAAAAAAAAAATTACTGATAAATACTAATATAGTGTACAGTATAATACATTGTGAGTTTTATTTCAATTATACAATAATGAAAAACTTGTTTTTTTTATTTAATATTATGATATAATACTGAATATTAAGACAAACTTCTTAAAAGTAAAAATGTTGAAAATTTAAACTTGAAAATGTGTTTAAATTTTTTTTTCAACATTACGCCCATAGATAAAAAGTACTTTTTTAGTATTTTTTTAATAAAAACATTTAAACGTTTAAATTTTCCATATTAAATTAAATATTAATTATATTTTAGTAATATCATATTAACTATTTTTTATACATTCATTTTAAAATTGTATAATAAATAGTTGCATAATATTTTAATTACAATTTACTATTTTAACAAATAAAAAGTTTATTTTAATTATAATTAATTTATTTATTTATTTGAAAAAAGTGAAATGTAACTAAACATCACTACAAACATCAATAACAACAAAATGTCAAAACTTTTAGTCAACTTATTTATGTTGAAGACCCGGCTTATTGTCAACACATATACGGTGACAACACTGCCCCTGTATTACGCCATACAGAAGCCGTGGCGCACACTGAAAGAGGCCAATCAGGTGAAGACGAAAAAGTTTGTCACCAAAAATGGAGAGTTGGTTTGGGAGCGCAACCATCCCAGTCCTGAACACGAGTTTCTTAAGTATAGTTCCTATGCCGAAGTACTCAAACATATGCCCGACCAGTACTCCGACGACCGTATTGTCTTAGGAAAGAGAGATGTTATCAAAGAGACAGTTGAAATGGATGAAAATGGTTTGTATAATTGATTGATAGTTAAATCAAACAATTAATTTTGCTAACAATGTGTTTTGTTGTAAATTAGGTAATATTGTCAAAGTTGATGGCAAAGTGTTACGAAAGTTTGTTTTGAGTGATAGTTATAAGTGGATGACATTGAAAGAGATGATGCAAAGGGTGGACAATATAGCCAAAGGTTTAGTCAAATTTGGTGTCAAAAAAGGTGATAAAGTGGTCATTTGGGCCGACACTCGGCTCGAGTGGTCGCTATGCAGTCTGGCGATCATGAAAATCAATGCCACATTAACCACACTTTTCTCAAATCTGGGTAATAATAATAATAATAACTATAATACCTGTTTGTAATAAAACACTTGTCTTATCTAATCTAATGTTTAGACAATTAAAAGTTTAATAGCACTTACCGTATAAACTAATCTAATGACAATTAGATTAGTTTATAAGTGCTATTAAACTTGAAGTTCAACGTCATTATCAACTTAATTGATATTTATTTATTTAAATATTATAAATAATAGGAACTCCTGGTCTAATCTATGGTATCAATCAAACAGAGGCCACAACGATAATCACAACAATTGATTTATTACCCAAATTGAAAAGTTTTTTAAAAGATGTGCCTAATGTCAAGTCAATCATTTATATCAAAAATCCAAAAGATGTTTTTAATGAAGAATTTCCTGAAGACATTGCTATCAAATCTGTCGAACAATTGGAAGAATTGGGAGCAGAGAATAAAAATGTCATTTCATTTGATTTACCAAAAAATCCCGACGAAATTGCGGTCATAATGTACACATCGGGAACCACTGGCAATCCGAAAGCGGTTTGCATATCACATCGACAATTGATGGCCAGTTTGAAAGCATTGGTGAGCAATACCACAGAACAGATGGCTCGCGATGCCGATCGACACGTCTACATGTCGTACCTGCCATTAGCACATATATTAGGATTTACTTTTGAAATGTTTTTACTATTCGGTAGGTTTTTTTGACATTTAATTTTGCAATAATTGTCAGCTTATAATCATATTATGTTTGATCAGGTGGAGTGAGAATAGGATACAGTTCCCCGTTTACGTTAACTGACTCATCTCCCGGTCACGTTAGTGGCCAAGTGGGAGACGCCCGGCTTCTTAAGCCGTCATCCATGACAGCCGTACCATTAGTTTTAGACAGAATCTACAAAGAAATTTATGACAAATTAAATGCCAGAACACCGATATCGGCGCCGCTCTTCACATATCTAATGGAATATAAGATCCGATGGAAGACTAGAGGTTATGACACACCGATTATCAATAGATTGTTCTGTAAAAAGGTCAGCGAAGCGGTTGGCGGACAACTCGAGTATATTATGGTCGGCGGCGCCGCTCTAAACCCGAGAACTCAGTCCATACTGAAGGCTGCTTTCAATATGAAACAAGTAGTACAAGGTTTGCATCATTACGTGACTTAAAGTAAAATAAACTTTTAAAATAACAATATTATTATTAATTTTCAGGTTATGGCGCCACAGAAACATGTGGTGGTGTAATGGGAATGTATATCGACGATCTGACCTACAATAGGATAGGCATACCGTTTGAAGGGGCAAAAATCAAATTAGTCGATTGGAAAGAAGGCGGTTATCTGACTGGTGATCAACCGAATCCAAGAGGAGAAATTGTTGTCGGCAGTGATATCGTAGCACTGGGCTATTACAAAGCACCGGAGCTGACAGCCGAGGCATTTGTTACCGATAGCGATGGTGTCCGCTGGTTCTATACGGGAGACATCGCTGAAGTGTTTCCCAACGGTTCCTTTCAGATCATCGACAGAAAGAAAGATTTGGCAAAACTATCGAATGGAGAGTTTATATCGTTGGGAAAGGTATGTCACTATATTTAAGGCATTCAAATCACTTTTAACTATTATATATGTCTAAACATATATTTTTATTATCAATAGATTGAAGCATTACTCAAGTCATGCAGTTTAGTGGAGAATGTCTGTGCGGTGGCCAACAGTGACCGCAATTGTGTCATAGCATTAGTCACACCTAACCAGAAGGCACTCATCAATTTAGGTAAACAACTGGACAAACCCAGAACTTATACCAGGGATCAGCTGTGCAACGATTCTGACGTTTGTGATAAAACACTTGAAAGTATCCAAACAACTGCTCAACTCAGTGGTCTGAAGCGCATCGAAACGCCCATCAAAGTCAAGTTGTGTCCCGAAGAGTGGACTGTCGATAATAATCTCATAACTGCTGCCTTCAAACTCAAGAGGAATGTTGTTATGACATACTATAAGAAAGAAATTAATGAAATGTTTGATTCGCTTAAATGATATCTAATTTTCTTAAGTGATATAAAAATTACTTTTTTATAAAAAATACTGAAATAATAATTAATTAACTTATTTAAAAAAAAATTTATATATAATTTTTTACAAACAGAATAGATTTATTTATTTTTTATTTACAAAAATTATATTTTAGTATAATAGATAATTAATTTTAGTTTTGTACAAAACAAATAAATTACAAAAAGCACAAAATTTATACATTATATACTAAAATTAAAATATATGATACAATTACCGTAATTGTTATTAGCAATATTTTATGTGGTACAAAAAAAGACTATATCATAAGTTAATGTAATTTATTTTATGTTTTATTTTTATATATATATATCTACTTTTGTTGTTTTTAACTTTTTTTTAAAAAAGAGGTTACCTTTAAATCATTTTTTCAAAACAATCAAATGATTTTTCTATTTTTATTAATTAATTAAATAAAATATTGAATATTATCATGTACCAGCATAATGATAACATTTAAAAAAAACAATGACTTTTCAATATTTGTTATTACATTTTATTAAATGAATTTTTTGATAAATTGTAACTATGTATTTTTTAATTATTTATCAAAAAGTAATATTATAAAATTTATAATATAAATAATAGATATTTAAAAAAATTAACATCACTTATATTCTAAAGATTTGTTTATTCAATAAAAAACAAATTAATAGAAATGTAAATAATATTAAACAATAAAAATTAAACAATAATTGTTTATTTAATTGTTGAATAGTTACTATAGAATAATAATTTCAATAGAAACTAATAAAACTATTAGAAAAACTAATTATTAATAATAATAAATAAATATTTTTTGTTACTCTCATCATAATTCATGATATGGTTATAAATATTTAAAAGTAAATAATTCAAAATGATTTACTGTATTTTGAATCAAACAATAACTTTTCATAATTTATTTATAAAAAAATAAAACAAATACACAAATAATAGCTAATTTAATACCTGTAAAGATATATAATGTATAACTTGATTATATCATCAACTATTTATTGTTAGCCAATCAACGTTTGATCAATCATTGCACTACAGTATACTGTTTATACAGGTATGGGTACAATATGGAAAATATTTGTAATATTAATATACGGTATTAGATATAGAGTTATGGAAAAAGTTACCAAGGATAACAAATTTTCAAAAATATAAATTATATTATATAATACTAATACCTTACAATTTTCATTGAAAATAATAATTAAAAAGTTTGTAAAATATTACTATTAATTATATACAGCATTTTTTTAAATAACCAAAACAATTGCTAAACATGTTTTTGTATTTAAAAAAAAATAAAAGTTATAAATCGTAAACACATGTTAATTACTTACATTGTTTTGGGCAAAACTAAAATTTAATATATATTATAATTTATAAATTTATTAGTACAATAAATAATAAACCATATGATAAACATGTTCCCGGGAAACAGGGAAAAATAAATGTGAGAAAATATCACTAGGAGATGAACAAATTATACACACCCTTATTATGTATATACGTTTGGCAACACATGTGTCATGTGTATAGTATTATAAAAAATATTAGCTAATAAAATATATAATTAATTTTATTTTACTAATAATAACACTAATAAAGTAATGTCACATATTTTAATGGAAATAATTTCCATAATAATAATAATAATAATAATAATAATAATACAGTATTGCATTATAAACAATATTTATGATAACATAAACACTCATAAAATACTGTACAAGTATTTACTATCACTAATACATAGTGATGTACCGATTGCAAAATGCGCAATTGCATTGGTCGGAAATTGCGTGAAATTGCCGCAATTGCAAAAAGCTCGATTGCGAAAATCGCAATTGTAACATACAACAATTTATAATTTTTTAAAAATTAACAAAATTTAAATGGTAAAGCAATATGAATAAAAACATAAATTAATTATATAAATTTTAATTATTTTATTATAAAATGTTGCCATCTAAAAACCATATTAATACTAATAATAAATTAGTAAATTATCTTAATCTATAGTAAATTAAATTTTTAACGTTGTAAAAGTTAATTTTTATACATTCCCTCATGCGCGCAATTTCAAGCTATTTCACGCAATTTTCCGCAATTGCGGCAATCGAAAATTGATTTGCGAAAAATTACCAACACTACTAATACATAATATGAAATACAATACAAACATTAAATTTAATACTAAAATAAACATACATTACATATGATTATTACTGTATTTATATTGACTGCAGTTATATATGTGTATAAACAGCAGTGTTTTGAATGTTTGAAATCACAAAACAAATGATTTAAATGTTTTGAATATTTATATTAAATAACTGAACAAAAAAAGTGATTACAAATTACAATAAACTATACAATCATTTCATCAGTTTTTCCCATATTATTGGGCGTCAAATGTTTCGCCGGTTTTTTAATTGAAATGATTTGTTGTCTGATTTTGTAAATTGAAAAAAAACAAAACAAAAAATTTTAAACTAATATCAAAGTTGAAGAAGAAGAAGAATAAGAAGAGTCCCATTGATCCCATTGTTCATCAAACGCGTCAAATCATTGGCGCGACAATTGATTGTTAAGACCGCTGCCGTCGCCGCCGATTACCGAGAATGGTCTTCGAGAGTCTTGTGGCCAACTTGTTGAACAAGTATTTGTCACAATTTGTGGACGAGTTGACCGCCAAACAGTTGAATCTGTTTGCATGGAGTGGTAATATATCGTTGGACAACATTGCCATCAAAGGCAATGCTTTCGATTCACTATCGCTGCCGTTTCGTGTCATTCACGGACACATCGCCCGAATTGAGTGCTCCATACCGTGGAAGTCGCTCTACTCGTCGCCGGTGGTCATAAAACTGTCCGACGTCTATGTGTTGGCTGTTCCTAACGCCGGTATTGTCTATATTTTATATCACTTGACATATATGTGACCAATTGATTGTTCATTTTTTTCAGAGACTAAATACGATGACCCCTATGAAGAACTGCTTCTCTGGACTGATAAACTGAAACAATTGGAAAAGATTGAAGAAGCGAAACAAAGAACCAAAGACACCAGTAATTGATTTTTATATTTTGTTTGATAATTATTGTGTGTTTTAAATGTAATTTGTTTTTTTAAAAGATGGAAAACAAGACAAAAACGACAAAAATGGTGATAGTTTTGCCACAAAGTTTGCCGCACAGATCGTGAAGAATCTGCAGGTATTCATTAGTAATGTTCACATCTGTTATGAGGATCGCATCTCATGGCCGAAGAATCCGTTTCAAGTGGGACTCACTTTACATAAGCTGGTCTTTGAAACCAAACAGAGTGACGTATCATCGATGGCTATGAATGACAATATTATCTGCAAATTGGTTTCAATTGAAGGTCTGTCCTTCTACTGGAACTGTAATATAAATGAGGTTTGAATTAACATTTATTTCATCAGTATTTTTACCGGTAATAATGTTATACAATTGTTATCATACTTTTTTAAGGACCAATTTCTCATGAAATTTGACGACAAAAGTATTGATGAATTACTTAAGGATCGGATCGCCACCAAACATAATACACCGACTGATTTGCAATATATTTTATATCCGATAAACTTTTCATCGAATACTGTTATCCATCGCAAACCAGAAGTCGATGACTATTCAGTTCCTATTTTGGACGCACAGATGGACTTAGATATGTTTGAACTAAGTATGACACGGACTCAGTTCGAGTGTCTACTTCTCCTATTGGATGCCATCGATCGCATGAATTTAGCCAAACCTTATCGAAAGTGGAGGCCATCGGTTCCCATCAGTGGTAACTCAAAGAGATGGTGGCGTTTTGCGTTCAACGCTATTATGGAGACTGACATCAAACGGCGCTCAAACAACTGGTCGTGGCTTAAGATATGTGAGCACAGACTTAAAATGAAGAGATATCAGGAACTCTATAAAAGAAAATTGTTGGCCATTAATGTCGATCAAATCAAACTGGAAATCGAAACGTTGGAAAAGGATTTGAATTTATTGTCAATTGTTTTGGCCCGAAGTCAGGCCGAGTTAGAGACACAACAGATACTGAATACTAAAAAGGAAGAGTCAAAGAAAAAGAAGGGATGGTTTTCCGGTTGGTTTTCATCTAAAGATGAGAGTTCATCATCAGAAGAAGGTATTTGATTTAATGAGTTAACGATTGTTTAGTTATTTTTTTTTTAAAATAATAATTTATGATATGTTTTGTAGTCAATATTGTTGATGACTTTAAAAAAGAGATGACAACAGATGAAAAACAACGATTTTATGAGGCTATTGGTTATGAAGAAGGTATTCCTGAAGAGTTGCCCAAAGATTTTATTGCACATCGGATTAAGTTTATGATCGGAAAGTTATTTATCACTGTTAGCGACGAGACTGAAAAAATTACTCAATTATCACTATTGGGTGTATCATTGAATTTGTCAAACAGACCCTCATCTCATTGCTTAGCCTTATCGACAAATGTCAAATCTCTCTTTATTTCTGGTATCGGAGGAATACCTATACTCGAGGAATTATCAACACTGGATGTACTCTCATTAGAGTTTGATATGAATCCATTAGATGGACTATACGATTATGGTATTTATAGTTTTTATTTGACACAAAATTAAGACTTTATTTTTGATGATTATTATTATGATTATTGAGTTACTAATATAAAAATTTTAATTTTATTTTAGGTGTGATTATGAAAATGTCTGGTTTTAAACTTATGTATGACGCGAACACAATCAATACATTCATCGAAATGTTGTCACCGCCTAAAGACATTTCACTCGAAGAATTGCAATCTATTGCTGCCTTCAGATTTCAGAATTGGTCCCAACGAACTGCTCTTAGTCTGGAGTATGCCATTGAAAAGCACAAACAAATTAAGCTTAACATTGACATCGAACCTTCATATGTGATAATACCACAGTTGGGCTGTTTAGACAGTGCTCACGATGTATTGCTTGTATCGTTAGGTCACGTGAATTTGTCATCTGATCTCATCGCCAAATCTGAAATACCAAAAGTGAAACAATTGATTGCCAGTCATTCGGACAAAGATCTTATCGAAAAGATGCGCAAAATGGCATTCGAGTCGTACAAGTGTCGCATATCTGAAGTTCAAGTGATCCTAAGTGATGTCAATCACTGGACACAGGACTTGAAGTCAATGTCCACAACTCGACATCTGTTATATCCGGTTGAGTTTAATCTGTCTATTAAACGATCGATTGTATCAAACGATCCATTAATTCCTAAACTTAAAATCAAAGGTATTGTCATTCAATGAATTGATGTATTTATAATTAAAGTTTTATTTTTAAAATTAATTATTTTTAATTTCCAGGAAAATTGCCTAATATTGAGCTTAAAATTAGTGATTCACAGCTAACAAAACTAATGAATTTGTTGTTAACTCTGCCATTCTCTGAGAGTTCGTCTGATAAAGAATTAGATGACACAGCAGTTGATGGATTGAAAAACATAAAAACTGGTCAGAAAAATATAGCAACAATAGAAATGTCGCGACAAATTACCGATGCCATGAATTTTGCCACCGAAACGACTGCCAAAATTGGTATCAAAGAGCCATCAGTAGAAGAGACTGAGTCAACGGATGGCGAAAAACAGATTATTGCTTATAAAAGTGTTGTCTTTGACTTTAAACTGAATAAAATTGTTGTAACACTTTTTGAGGGAATTGAACGAAGCGTTAGTTCAGCCATTGCAACGGCAAAGTTGTCCGGTTTTGAGATTTACGGTGAAATACTTACCGACAGTACTCTCTGGACGATTGTTCGCATTGGAGATCTAAGTCTTGACGATATTCGTACCACTCGTAAGGATACCGGAGTGAAGACATTGATTGAGAAAAAGTGAGTTTAATTACAATTAGAGTTCTGATTATAGTTTATAAATAAATTTTTCTGTTTTCAGTCAAATTGTTAGCACAGATGGCACCGAACCAAAGGATTCAATGTTTTCACTACATATGACACAAAAATCCAACGAAAGATTTATTAATATTTCGATTTCGGGTTTTCGATTGATTGTAGCTCTGGATTATCTCTTAAATATTGCAAATATGGTCACTAAAGCCTTCGATACAGATAAGACCAAAGATGCAAATGTGATCAAAGATGACAAACCTAATGATGTCGAAAGTAAAGTAAACAGAGCTATCGATAGAGCCAAACAATTATCATCTGCGACCGTCGAAAAGACATCAGTGATCAATGTTTTACTATTTAATCTAAATCAAGTCGATGTTGTTTTGTTGGAGTCCATCGAAGTGACCAACTCTTCAGCAGTTATAATGAGTTGTTTTTCAAAAATACATATTACACAAAATCCCGAGTTTATTGATATTCACGGCGAAGTGGCCGACATATCGATGTTGTTGACCAACTATGACCGATATATATCCAGCCGAGACATCGATGCCTACATTATGAGACCAATAAATTTGTCGATCAATGGAAAGATCACTGGTATGGGTTTTTAAGTTGGATTTTTGTTTTGGTATACTTTATAATTACCGATAAATAATTATTTGACATTTTAATAGGTGACAGTCAAATGTTGGACGTAACTCTAAGTGATGTTGAATTTTTTATATCGCCGCCAATGGTCAACATTTTGCTAAAAATAGTATCAAAATTGGGTTCAAACAGTAATACACAGACGGATTGCGAAGAATGTCGTGTGAATGTTAAAGATCTGTTCAAAGTTAAGCCTAACGATAGCAAGAAATGGTATTTGAGTTATGTCGCCGAAGCTGAGGAAGTGACTGAAAATTTTATCGATGTTGTCGATAGTCCGACTGAAATCAATACAAAACAGCAATTGTATCTCAATATTAATTCTGTTAGTATTGTTGTAGAGTCGGGTGGACTCGACTCGCAACCATTGATCAAATTGAAGTCATATTTTACTGGAAAACTAGTCGGTTATAAGTCATTGAGTGCCAATTGTTCCCTAATTGCCGATTACTATAATGAAAACAAATTCTTTTGGGAGCCACTGATTGAACCAATTGAAGGTAATTTATATATAATTAAATAAATATTATTGATTTTAAACCTATTTTATTTGAAGGCAAACCAAGTCCATGGGATTTTGACATAAATGTTGCCCTTCAAGACAGCGGCAAAATAGATGTAAAACTTGAATCCAATGAACAGCTGGAGTTGACAATTACGAAGACATCGATTTTTGTATTGAGTTCACTAAACGAAGCGTTTGCTAATGCAATCACTAGACAATTGCCCACAAGAGAAGATAATATAGTAATTGTTACCAATTTTCTTGGATTTGATTTGCGTCTGTATTTGACAGAAAGCAATTTAAAAACGAAACCATTTAATAAACAGAGTATCAAAAATAAACACAAATCACAAGAAAGTGAGATAATTGTCATTAAAGCTGGAGAGGAGTTGTCATTAGTGGCAACTGATCTCAAAGAAGTAGAGCTTAATATTGCTATTTTGATGTCCGATGGAAATGAAATCAATCGTAGTATCACTTGTCACGGACAAAGTATTCGGTAAATTTGTAGAAAATGTTTAATTTTTTTTACATTACCGGTAATTATATTTAAAGATTGTTTTTATTTGATTATATCTCTAGTTGTTATAATTTGCCAAAAAAGACATATCCGACTAACTTATTCTGGAAATGGGTGGTTGACGTACAAGACATGGATGCATATACTAAGAAAATAACATTTAAATCAAATGCACAAATTGTTAATCAATTTAAGACACCGCTCGACATTTATTGCATTCAGAAAGAGCAGACCATTCATTTAGGATGTGTCAAAGCATCGTCTACTCTGGAGCTGCCACTTGAAGCCATCTATGGTGAGATTTTTTTGAAACAATTGCCTCATTTGAATTTGATGATAATTTTGAAATATCTTTAGGTGAATGTGAGATTAAAGTCAAGCCATCAAACGATTACTTGTTATGCGATAAGACAATTGACTGGAGATCACAGATAGATAAACGAAATACTAGTACATCATTATGTTTGCCATTTTGTGATTCACCCACAAGACAACCACCATTAATATTGACCTCCAATTCAGAGAGTAATCCAAACAATAAGTTTTACATCAAAGTTAAATGTGATCAAAAAGATGTTCAATACGAAGACTCGACTATTTCTAATGTCGAATCGGTATTATATGAGATAAGACTCATACCAATTGTCAAACTCCGAAATCTATTACCTTATACGATAAGCTATGCCATCGAAAATATTGATGAACTCATTCCTCTTGAGTCGGGCGACGAATCAGATTTATCTGCTGTTCGTTTGGGAGAAACTGGTCTGTAGTTTATAAATATATTTAAAATTTACGAATTTATATGAGATATCTATCCTATTATAACAAATTAATTATGAATTTATATAGGATTATCCCTGACATTAGTTAATTATTTGGAAAAGGACTGGTATTGTTTTAAAACCATACCATCCTATGGTCCAGAAAGTGATGTTTATTTATGGAAGTTTACCGCATCTGATAACCACAAAAGTCAGTCAATTGATTTGGCCGTCAAGTTATCCATTGAGAACTCAACTATAGTCCTATCACTTTACTCGCCATTCTGGATGATCAATAGGACATCACAACAGTTGGTCTATCGTGTAGACGATGAGACTGTCATCTTTCATCAGCCGACTGTTTTGACACCAGTTCTTCTATGTTTTAAACCGAAGAATTTGTTTTGCAAGAAAAAACTGTGTCTATCTATAGGTGATTCTCGATTTTCAGACGGTTTTTCTGTAGACGTTGCCGGCAGTAAAGGCAATATTATTGCCAAATCGAAGAACGGAAAATACAATTATTATGTCTCAATTGATGTCCAATTGTCACGAATAGGTTTGAGTAAAATTGTTACGATTACACCGTTTTATTCAATAGTCAACGTGTCGTCGAAATCGATTGAGATATCCGAAGATAATGATGAGTTTCAGAGTATCAACAGCTTCACAACTAATGCTTTTTGGCCAAAGAGGTCAACCAATCAGTCGATATTCTTGAGATTTGACTCGAAGTCTAATTCGTCAAAAGTTAGTAACTCTTGAACTCTTTAAAAATTTATTTTTATAAAATTTTTTTAATATATTTACAGCCACTGTCACTAACTGATTCATTATCAACTTTGGTTGAAGTTGATGGTCAATATCTTTATGTTGACGTTGATATCAGTGAATGGGATGCAACTGTTAAGATTAGTGACTATTTTGAGGGCGCGGCACCCGTTATGTTAGTGAACGCACTAAAAGGTCCGATCAGTTTTGGCCAAAAAGGTGTTACGGTTTGGTCATCTAAAACTGGTGAACAAAAATATGTCAGCTCTGTTCCGGCCAATTGTTCCGTATATTATACGTGGTATTTGCCATCCAGTGAACAACAACTTGTCTGGAAATACGAACCATTGGTTGCCAAAGAACAGACAATGGATATCAAACGTGACGCTGTTATCGATATCAACGATGTATTTGTTGTATCATTTCTTGATGGCAAACAACGAGTTTGTTTGTTCACTCATGACTTTTCGCTGGCAACTAATGCACTTCAAGTATGTAATAATATAATAATAAATAAATGATTTCAATTATTATTATTTTTAATAAATGGTTTAATAGGCGGGTGAGATAACCAAACCTAATATAAATGTCGAGATCATAATGAAAGGAATTGGTCTCTCAATTGTCAATAACGAAGCTAAACGTGATGTGCTTTACATTGCTATTACAAGGTTTTAAATAAATAACATAATTATTTATCAAATATTGTTTTTTAATTATTTGTAATTTTAAACTAAATTTTTTGTATTTAGCTCTGTCTTATGGGAGTTTCGATCCACTGATTCAAAACGTTTCAAAGCACTTCCAGTTAAGTCAATCGATTCAATCGAAAGTTCCTATCAAAAGGTATTACTGAATAAAAAGATTGGCGAAAATAGTTCAATAGTTTCAAGCGATTCCATGCAATTGGATTTCACTGATTCAGAAAATCCTAAACTAATTGCTCCCAAAAATGGACAATTAAGGTATGCATTGTAACAGTTGATTGTCTGAATTATCATACATTCATATCATACAGACGTCTAGCCAATCGTGGCATTTGGATATCAGTAGCCCTGTCCGAGCATATCATACAGTGTCATCTAAAAGTAAATCGTCTACAAATTGATAACCAAATGCCAGATCACATATTCGGTATAGTGATGTGTCCGATAGCACCGCCAAAAACTATAGCCATAGAGCACGTGCCGAAAAGTTTTATCGAGATGTCCACAATCATCGAAAAGACAACAACTATGAACCGATTCAAATACAATTCAATTCTCATACAAGAGTTTCTCATACAAATTGACAGAGGATTGTTGTCGGCTATACAGGAGTTGTTTGAAGTGACCGCCAAAAAAGAGGACAACAAAAAATTGATTGCCAAAGATGTCAGAGATATACTACAAGTAATGTTTTTATATATATATATATATATATAAACTTAATTGAATTTATTGAATTGAATTAATGGCAAATTAATATTGTTTTTCATAAAATATATTAGTTAAGTACGATTACAGAGTCATTATTATCGTCGCGCAAAAGTTATTACGATTTCATACACTTTTCACCACTCAAAGTACACTTAAGTTTTTCGATGGCCGGCGCCGCCGGTGGACATTTACCGCTGGGACTGGACTTTTTTGTCCGATCAGCCGGTGTAACGCTTACCGAGTTTAACGATGTAGTCTTCAAATTGGATTATTTTGAGCGCAAAAATATTTTAGTCGAAAACTCGGAACTTATATCAATAGTTACCAAACATTACACAACACAAGTGCTCAAACAGTTTTATGTATTGGTTTTGGGTCTCGACCTGATTGGTAATCCCATGAAACTGGTACTCGGATTGAAAGAGGGTATGAATTTAGATAATTGAATGATTTATATATTTATATTAACATTTTGGTTGTATTTTCAGGTGTCGGTGACTTCTTTTACGAACCATTTCAAGGAATAATTCAAGGCCCGGGAGAGTTTGCAGAGGGTATATCTATTGGTGTCAAATCGCTGGCTTCTAATGTTGTCGGTGGAGCTGCCGGTGCTTTGGGAAGTATTACCAGTACGATTGGTGAAGGAGTTTCGGTGCTCACAATGGATGATAAGTTTAGACAAGAACGTCGAACACGTCTTAATCGAAAAGCAGGTTTCGCCGAAAGTGGCAAAAATCTATTCAGAGGTGTATTTTCTGGTGTAACCGGTGTTATCACTAAACCCTTTGAAGGCGTCAAAGAGGATGGTTTTGAAGGTTAGTCTAATTGTATTATTATTGATAATCAGTAATATATTATTTTTAATTACCGGTAAATTGATTTTTGTTGTTATCTATTAATGACTACTTTTTTGTTATTAATAGGTTTAATAAAAGGTGTCGGTAAAGGTGTTGTTGGTATTGTTGTTCAACCAACTACTGGTGTTATAGATTTTGCTTCGGGTTCACTGCAGGCTCTTAAACGAGCTGTTGATCCCAACCAAGAGGCCAAACAGATCCGTGCGCCCCGTTATATCGGTTTCGACGAAATGATTCGACCATATAATAGACATCACGCAACCGGTAAATCCAATATTTTTCTGGAGTTATATTAGGTTTTAATTACAGACATTTATTTACATTCATCTATTATTTTTTTAAAAAAAGGTAATCAAATCCTAAAAGAGATGGAAAATAGGAAATACGTGACCGATAATTATATTATACATTATACTCTCAATTCTAACCTTACGATAATAACCGATAGACGATTGATGTCCGTTAAACGTGGATCCATATCACACCATTGGGAGACCGATTGGGCAGAGGAGTGGACTAATTGTGATAAGTTATCACTTTCTGGGGACAGACTCAAGATTATCATCAAACTCAAGGTATTGTCGATTACTTGCTTTTGCTTTTAGTGCTGATATATATATAAGTTTATAATATATTATCAGTATTTTAATTATATAATCTAACAAAGTTTTCAACCAACCAATTACATTGTCATATAGAATATTTTTATCGTAATATATAAAATTACTTTAATTTTTTTGTGTACAAAATTAAATATAATCATTAAAAGATAGTGAAAATCCTGTTCGTTAAAGCATACAACACATTAGTATAAGTAATAAGAAAAAAATAAGTATAACTTAAGTTATTAAGATAACTAAAATGTTATATCGATTTACTTATAAATTATATAATTTTATCATTATCTGGATAAAATATCTTTGTCTGGACGTATTTGATAACATTAAAAGAAATATATTTTTAACTTTTTTAAATCGGTTGTTTAAGTTGAAATGTTATCTTAGAAACAATTATAAAAGCAATAAAACTTGCCATAAAATTTTTGCGGGCCATCTAATTGAATATAACTTCTTTTTTTATTTTATTATTTGTTTTTTCAAACTTTATTAAAAACTAATTTTTCGTTTGTTATGTTATGTTATATATTTTTTATCTCTCATTTAGGAGTCTAAGCGAGTGTTTGGCATATTTTCGGGTGACTCGGACCGGATAATTACCACCAATTCAGTGGAGGCCAGTCAGGTTAGTATCAATTGCTTGCTCTGTGTTTGTGTTTATTACCCAGAGATGAAGTTTATTGATATTTTTATGTGTTTACCTGAAACAAAATTCAGGTAAACTCGTATAATTTTTATGTGTTTTAAGTGATATAAGTAATATATCCAAAGCGTATACAGTATACAGACACCACTTTACATCCCGGTGCTGCCTCTCTCTCTCTCTCAATCACTCCAGTCTATCCTTCGTGTAATTGTTTTTGATAAACATTTAAAAAAAAGTTATTTATTATTGTTATTTTGTTTGTTGTTATTGTTTGCGATTTTATTAGTTAGGTATTAGTTTATATAACTTTTTTTTCATTTGTTAGACTTTGTTGTTGGAGTGTAGGGAAAAAATTATGATGTTTTATGACTTCACGAATCTGGCGAACTATAAAATCACATTTTATGGCTTTTTTCTTACATTTTTGTTTTTTTGTTGTTGAAGTAAACTATCATTTCATTTGAGCTTTTCAGCATAAAATCACTTTAAAAATTATTATATTTTATTATATTAGTTAGTATTTGTGTGTATGTGTGTGTGTGTGTGTGTGTGTTTGTGTTGTTTTGGTGGGGGCTTTACTTGATTCACACGTATAGCTATAATTGCATTTTGCATTATTTATAATATTATGATTTACATTCACGTGTAATATAATATGAATTTTATTATTGATAATCTAAACAGATATAAAATGATATTTAATATATTTTAATAAAGTTTAATGGTTTAGTTTTAACGACTATGTTTTGCGTCAATTTGCGGGCCCTAATTAGGTGCTCCCTCTTTTATTTGTCTGTATCTAATTCCCTATCTAACCGCCCCTAAACTAACTAACTAAATAACTAGCGGTCAATTTTTGGCCAGAAAATTAACGACTTAACCAAAAAACAAAACAAAAATCCATTAATCATTGAATTAATGATTTTGATATTCAAATTTAATTTCTATGATTGCGGGCACATATTATAACAACAAAAAAAGCAAAACAACAAAACTAGAAAATAAAATTAATTTCTAGTTATGCAACAAATAGTTTTGTTGTTTGAAGAGATAAAAAAGGGTTTTGAGAAGAAAATTCAAATTATATGATTAGCAGTTTTACATACAGTTCAGGCTATAGATTAAATAAAAATTTTAAATAAAAGTTTATACATTTGTTTGCCTGATTTGTGTTGCAATTGTTGTTGTTGTGAATGCCTTATGGGATACCAATTAAATAGCTAATGGATTTTTTCTGTTCAATTTTTAACACTAAAGGATATCATTTTTTATTTTTTTTATTTAAATAAAATTAATGATTATTATGATTAACATAGGAAATGTTTCAGTAATAACAAATTTGCTTAAATTTTAAATTATGAAAACTCATGTTTTTGTTGTTGGTTTATTGCTTACGATTTCATTAATATAAATTTATTTAAATAATATATTATATATATTATATATATTTATAACTAACTGCCTTTGTTATGAACCATTTTTTTCGTGTGCCTCTAATTTGAATATTCAAATTAATATATAATTTTATTATTAAGGAATAGTTTTTTTTAAAAAATAATTTTTACTTTAAACTTATTAAGTCATTTGAATTATACAACCAAAATTAAAATTAGTCAACAATTAATGATAACAAATTGATATTCATAGACGAATCAAAATTATGATTATTATTATTTGTCAGTAATGAGTATTCTTAGTTATTATTATTATTATTTGCATTGACATCAAAATTAGCAGCAATTAAAATTAGCAGATTTTTTAATATTAAGCTATAGTAGTGTTTGAAAACTAGACACTCATTAATAAACATTAAAAAATTCCCAAAACAGCGTCTTATTATTATTATTATTATATCCGGAATTCATAAACTTAATTATGTTTTTGCAGAGTTTCAATCATTATTCATACGGATAGATAAGTTTTCAAATTTGAAAATATAACAAAAAAATCTTATGTAACTTTTTTTAATGTTTAACATTAATTTCCATAAAAAATTAAGCAAATCTGTTAAGTATGGCGTAAATTTAAATTACTATTTTCTGATTCTCTCTCTCTCTCTCTCTCTTTCTTTCTTTCTTTCTCTCGACATTTAACTAACGATTATTAATGTCAATCAAAAAAATTTACAGAAAAAAGTGATATTTAAGTTTTTAATTGTCAGAGTTGTTAAACCGCTTTAATTATTGTCTTCACTCATGTATAATAATGTATATACCGTACTACTACTACTATATATATATATATTATAGAGTATATTTGTGTGTTATATATAATATATATATATATAATATATATATATATAATGAGTTTGTTTTAAATTACACGCCATTATCTCAATGAAAAATTGCTGTCATGTTTGCCATTTGAGTGATTAGTTGTAAGTATTGAGAAACAACAACACGAGAGACGACTGACTACTAATCCTTCACAACATCACTAATGGTGTCAACTCTTCTTCACTTACATTACGAAGTGGTTTGCCTTTTAAGACTTGAAAGTTGTTTTAACAGACACACAGAAACTGTTCATTCAATTTGATCATTAAATTTAATGATTTATTAATTAGAAAATGAAAATTATTTTTGTTTACTTAACTATAAAATAAAAAAAAGATTTAACTTTTGAGATAAAATCATTATTTTATAGCAATTTGTTGTTTTAATTTTTTTGGCAAAAAATAAGAGGTTTGCAAATTGCAATACATGCCATACATACATATACAGTATAGTATAGTATAATATTTTATATATAAATTTTTAGTCATTTAGTTGGGGACCAATTTTTCGTCAATTCATCGATTTTTAAAATAATAAAAATAAATACCTATTTATATTCACATAATCCGCTGTTTAAAAAAACAGTTTGTGTTTATATGTGTTTGTAATACCTAATGAATACTGTATTTCCTGATAAGTGATTGTCATAAATATGATTAAGTGATTGGAAACAAAATATGTATTTATAATTACCTTTGATTTTTTCAAATGTATTACAATTTTATTGAGACTTAGGTTTTTTAGATTTAATAAATGTTTTTCTAACAGAAAAAACATTTTTTTCTCAAATATCTTGATTGAGTGATTGCTTAATTTTTAAAAGTTCATTATTTATGTAATATTTATTAATAATCTGTATGTTTAGAGTTTGCTAAACGTTTGGTACATAATTAAATTAATTGTAAAGATATTTTTCAAAATTAAAAACTTAAAAATAATTTCAAGTCTCAATTTGTTAAGCTATTTATCATCAGTGAAATTATTTTTTTACAAAATATTTTTGTTGTTGTTTCATATAAAATGACTTAATCACAGACCGGACCAATTCATGCATAATATATATATATATTTCAAAAAAATATCTTTACATTACATGTGTGTTATATTGCTATTTGGATTCGCTTGTTTGCCATCGACTACTTTAATACTTTATGATGTGATTATTATTAAGACATTTTAGTCATCCATTATATTTAAAATTACCGGTATATACACATACAGTATATGATTATAATGGTATTGTACGCTAATTTGTGAATCAATAGCATAAAAGAGTTTTAATTAACAATTTCTCAGTCTATTAAAGTGTAATTTTGAAAAAAATTATTATTATATATTATTATTATTATTTTCACGATGATGATGATTATGATGTTGATTATGATTATGTATTTAGTTACTTGTTTTTTGTTATTTTTTACAATTTGTCACATAAATAAAAATTAAATTTATTATTATTTTTAATATATTCAATGCAGTGGAAAATAATTAGCACTGAAGGCTTATATTATTATTTTTAAAATTATTTATTGGTATTCAAAAGGTTTTTAAATTAATGTTAAGCTATAATTCACTAAAAAATATTAAGCTTTAAAATAAGGTTTTTAATAAAAAAAATCTTCTAAAATAATTTTTAGTTAAGTTTCTCAACTCTTTTAAATCTCAAATAATAATAATAATAAATAAATAAATAAAGTTTTAATTTATTTATTGTTTTTCATATATATTACAGATTCTCACGTTATCTATCGATTCAATTTTTGTTATAAATTATTATTTGATATTATTTTTTACTTTTCATATGATATGTATTACATTAGAGTGTGTGTGTGTGTGTGAGAGAGAGAGAGAGAGAAAGAGAGAGAGAGAGAGAGAGTGACTAGTTTGCCTCCTATCGATGTTTTTTAAATATATTTTTGATGATATAGTTAAGTCTATAATTATTTTTATTTTAATATATATTTCAATCTATGAAAATAGATTAATTTTTTAGCGTTGATATTTAAAGTAGTTTTTAAGTAGAGAAATAGTTTAAATTAATATATAGTATTGAAGTAGCTGCTAGATATATATATATATATATATATATATATATATATATATATATAGCAATCATTATTTATTACATTTTTTGTTAACTTTTTATGTTGTATGATGTCATTTAACACTGTCTTCAATTGGAGAGAGAAACTGAAATAAAAAAAATTATTTGAATTTCGCCATCATTTTCATTGAATATAAATTTAATGAAATATTTTTCTTAGTTATTTTGGAGTCAATTAATCGTTTTTTAAAATAAATGACTTAATCTTTAAATTAATCGACAAAAAAACTTTTTAAATTTTCTAAACTTTTATTACTATTAAATAAAGTAATTTTTTGGTGAGTATTAAATTTTATTGGTGAGGAAAATCTATTTTTATGATAAGCTTTTTTGTATAACAGCTACAAGTAGTGGCAAACAATCTTCACTGAAAAATTGATTTTAAAAGAGAGAAAAAATTATGTCATATGTATTATAACTTTTAGCAAAAAATGTTACGCTAAACATATACGGTATTTATATATTGATATATCCAGCAATAATACCCACATATGAATTGTATGTTTGCATTTTAAAAACATATACTATATTTATCGTCTCATATATATAAGAGACACACAAATAATAATCACTATTTTCAAATATTGCGGATCCAGTTTTAAAAAAAAGTTTATATCAATGTTTTTATATATGTATAAGTAGAGTATATATCATACATATTGAGAGGGAAAATGTAATTCAAATATATACAGTATATATACTGTATGTACTGTATATATTATAAATATATATATATATATCTTCTAAACTCTCATCACAACATATTTTGTCGATCAAAATGTACTTAAAAATAAATTGTTGAGAACTAACAGTATGTTGTTATAACTTATAAGACAAGTTGTAGTCACAAAATATCTATATTTAATGCCATAAATCAAATATTGAAGAAATCATGAGGTTTTTAATGACGGCTCTCTCTCTCTCTCTCTCTCTCTCTCATCTCTTGTTGCGATAGTATTTTTATATACATATATGTAATAAATTCAATAGGAATTAAAGATTTTGTTTGTTTGTTATATAAAACATTTTGTTTTTAGTTATTTATTACTGAAATACTTGAATCACGAGAGACATCGATCAGTTAGTGAACGAATATAAGATATATAAGAGAGAGTGGATTCTCATGTTTTGGGCCATAATTCCAATGTTTTTACTTCTCTTGTTTTTTCTCTCTGTTTTGCCATTTGAATAACAAAAAATATGATTATAAATTAAACAAACATTTGTTTTAAAACTAGAAATTATAATAATTACAACCATAAGACAAATATATATCAAACATATGTTAGATTTGTTTGACTGTTTTGATGGGCAGAGAGAAAGAGAGAGCCATTAATCTAATAATAAATTTAATGATATTAACACAAAACCTATTTGAATCAATCATTTAAATAAACAACATTTGGTATGCCTTTTAATTTCAATACTGACTATTATGTTATGAAATTAATATATAATTTTAATACTTAATAATTTTTAAAAATACAAAATCAATTATGTTATACTTAATTGAGCGTTTAATTGATGTAGATTTTTACGGATAATATACGGTATATTATTATATAATAGGGCCTCAAATCTTTGTTAATAAAAAAAAGTTTTTTACTAAATAAACTCATTTAAAATTCTGTATTATTATTGTTATTATATGTAACAGACATATTGTGTTATTTTGCATTGAAAATTATGGCCCAAAATAAGGTAAAACAACAATAACAATAAATAAAAAATTGAAAATTTAGGGTATAATCCAATTGATGCTATAATACTACTATAACTTTATATATATATACGCCATGAGATAATAGGCTGGTGCGCGAAATAATGAAACCGCACCTAATATTTAGCATAAAACTTATGATTACAATTATCGCAAACAATAATAATAATAATATAATAATTTTGTGTGTGTGTGTGTGTGTGTGTGTGTGTGTGTGAGAGAGAGAGAGAGAGAGAGAGAGAGAGAGATCCTATGAAAACCATCTCTCAATAGTATATATCATATTCATTATTATAATATTCTTTTGTTTCATCACATAATGTGTTCAATCCTTAAATTTATGTCTTGTTTTTTGCTAACAATTTATTTTTCTCTTTTATTTTTATATTTGACATGCAATACATCCCTTTCCTCACTCAACCAGTGGCTCATCGAACAGATTAACAAACAGTTGAGGCGATAGTTGTCGGTCGGCAATGGGATGGGGTAAATGGCAATACACAATACCACCAGTTCCTCAACACATATAAGCCTATCCCTCAAATTTCAATGTTTTATAAATAAGACTAAAACGAACCGAAAAACACACACAAAAAATAATGGGTATAGAAAAACAATAAAATTTTATTTTAATGTCAGTTTAACACAACACCAACTTTTAACAACAACTACGCCAACAATACATCTACGGTATAATACAGCCATTTATTGAAAAAAAGACTGAAGACTTGGATCCAATTGAAAGACAAACCGATAAAATGGAAAAACAATACATAAATAATGACAACATTGGATACCTGTATATTACCTGAGATATACAGTGAAAAAAGTGGAGAAAATTATTTCAATTATTTATTGCACTTCTCGAAGAAGTTTTTTTTGGTGATTAAGACGAAAGAAAACCATCAATTGGTCTTTTGAATGGCTCATCGCTATTGAGAAAGATATATATATATATATATACGACCTAAAAGTTTTGGTCATAAAAAATACTTTATGAAACACATAACACAACACTTTTGTAATTTAGCCAAACTATATGAGGGAGAGAGAGATTGCTAGCGAAAATATAGTGAAAAGTAATAAAGTGATTGCAGAAAACATGTGAACGGCTTAACCATTTGAAAAATAGTTGGCTAATAGTAATAATAATAATAGTTATGTTGTTTTTATTGTTGTAATCTGCGATCTTCTTTAATCTCAATTTCGCTCTCTCTCTCTCTCTCTCTCTCTCTCTCTCTCTCTTTCCAATAAATGACTGCCAATATGTATATCAGTTTACGAAAATGCCTTTAAAAATAAATGTAATTATAATAAAAAACATAATAATATTGAAGGTTTTGCCGAAACTGATGACAATGAACTTCAAAACATAGATATTTTCATTTTGGCTCTAAAAAGGCAGTAAAATGCCATTTTTAAAAGTAAATTTTATATGCATACTGTATATCAAATTTTTTTATATTTCAATTACATTTATTTCACTCCTTAAGTATTGTGTTATTATAATTATAATTATACTATTATTATTATATTTTGTTGTTGTTGTTACTGTACTTGTCTTTCGGATCATTAATTTTTAGCTATAGTTTATTGTTGTTGTTGTTATAGTTGTTGGTATATAGTTGTTGTAATTTATATGATATGATTATTATTACATATTCTATAAACAATTTTCAAGTCATTTTATTGTAAACTATTTTTGATGATTACTATTAATATGGAAATATGATTTTTTTAGTGTTTATTAATGGTTTTGTTATATATATATATATAAAAAATTAATTTATTTGTTAAACTTCACGATTTGCAAACCGTGATATTTACGAAATACAATATAATATTGTTTTATGATTATTATTATTGTTGATTGTATTGTATATCATATATAAGTTATATAATTTATACTCATTTAATGACATTATTAACATTTTTATAATACAAGTTTAACTATGCATATAATTTATATTTATATTTTAAAAATATGCGAAAGTTATTAATTCGAAAATTATTAAAATTCATAAAATTATATAATTATTTAAAAAAAATATATTAGCCATGTTTTGTGCCTAAATTATTGTATTTTTGAAAATAATAAATAATAAAATGTTTGACTAATCGCACAAATTATATATATATTTACTTAATTTTTTAAACAATTGTTATTTTAAAGCAAAAATTCCATTGATTTGTTTAAGAGATATTTGTTGTTATTAAAGAAAATTTTTTGGATTTTAATAATAATACAAAAAAAATAATAGGCACCAAAAATATGGATATTTGTCTGAACCCCTGGATTTAAATCTACTTGTTTTCCCCTATTATTATATTTAGTGGCTTAAATCGTGAATTAAAAAAACTAATTTTATATTTACGGTGAGGAAAAATTATGTTTTAATAGTTATCAAACATTTTAATCAATAGTTATCTCACAGCAATTATTTGTATATATATATCGTAATAAGCAATATATTAACTCCAATATTGACTATCATTATTATTATTAAACTATAAATTATTGAACACAGAAAAAACAGTTTATTAAAAATTTGATTTCTTAATTGCAATTTTTTTGTTTAGTCCGTATTAGAAAATTTATTTATTTTTTATTATATACTGTATATATAAAGTTTGTTTCTCAATATAATATTAAATAGTAATAATAAAGACCTCTCTCTGTCTGTTACTTATAATAAACCAATTTTTTCTGATGTAATAACAACTCAAACATGATTTCGATTAATATTTCATATTTTAAAAACTCAATTATAATATAATAAGAATAATAAAAAAAACTCTGTTATTATATCGCAAATGTTGACTCCACTGCTTCTACCTTTAAAGTCAATCAAAACACAAAATACATTTCGTTTTAAAAATAAAATTTCTATAAATTTCTCTCAATTATGTTAAACAAACAAAACATTAGACATAACTATAATAAATGTTTTATAAATACATATATATATATATAAATTTACTGTATATACGAAAAAAATAGTGAGTACTGTTGTTAAGGTATTGCCAGCAAAATAACATCTCCCGAGAAGAAAAAACAGCGGCACTGATAACCAGTAGATCCAGTTCTTGGTTCTCAAACAACACAACATTGATGGGTAGCTCATAATCTCTCTCTCTCTCTCTCTCTCTCTCTCTCGTATTGATTGTGATGATTAGGAGCGCCCGAAGCGATACCTTTAAGTCTGACAATAATTGAGCTGAACTGCTGCTGTCATTGCTGGCAAAGTCCTATTTTTTTCTCTGTCTAATATGAGTTGTGGTGGGAGAGGCGGGTAAACACCGTTTCGGGCAATATTTCTCTCTCTCTCTCTAATATAATGTCTTCAATAAATGAATGACACGAACACAACAACTGGTGGTGAAATTGGACGCAACGGACGGCAGGATATATTCGTATGAAATAGTATTCAAATCCAAGGATAAGTTACTCTAACTATTGGTTAATTTAAATCAAACATATCTTAGCTTATAATGTATATTCTAAGTAGAGATACCGTTCCCCACCCGTGTGTTCATTCCAGTGTATATTATATTATAGTATAAACATTTATTATCCTAAAAACCACCAGTCAGTCAGTCAGTGCAAGTGATAGCAATTTGTGTTCAATAATGTATAGACTTTTCTGTTTCCCTCTCAATATATTATATCCTTACTGTATATATGATTAAGTCATTTGACTTATTAGTTGTAATATAATCATTAGATTTATATCAGAGATTAAGCATCTCTAATTAGAGAGAGAGAGAGAGAGAGAGAGAGAGAGAGAGAGAGAGAGAAATTATTTTGAAAAATATTTTAATCACGAGTTAATTAAGTGATGGATTAACTCATAGTTTTTGATAATTTAGTTTTCAGATTAGCACTCAATTATAGCAACAATTTTTATGTTTCTCACACTCACATTGTAATCAACAAATCATATACGAAATAAACATAACAAACAATATATTTTTTGTAGAGTTTATCGCTGAATAAATAAATAATAATTATATTTTATGAAATTGTGTTGAATGTTCACAATAACTATATAATATACAGGAGATAATACCTGTTCACTGTCTATCTGTCTGACCTCAAACCTCTACTGTCTCTATCTGTTTCTTTTTTTCATAATATAATTACTTTATTATTATTATAATATTTACGAAGTTATAACACACTGTATATATAATATGTATGAAACTCATGGTATGTTTAAAAAACACGAGAGAAATTTCACCAAAAAAATAATATATAATATAAGATAATAATAGAAAATAAGCATATAATACATTGATTGCCCAGCAAAGCGCAACCAGTGTGTGTGTGTGTGTGTGTGTGTGTGTGTGTGTGTGTGTATGTATGTGTGTGCAAATAATATACCAGGTGAAACACAGGTTATTTTAAAAACTATGAAGTCTACTATGATGATGATGATGCTGGTATCATGATAGGTGAGGTTAGGTAAGTCAATGGTGAGTGAGTGAGAGATGCCATACATGCACATAGGCATGAAGTATGACTTACCTTCAAAAAATATTGACCACTAAATTATTAGATTGCTGTCTAAGGGGAGAGAGAGAAAGAGAGAGAGAGAGAGAGGAAATGAAAATTTTAAATAACATAATAAAAAATTTTCTACATAAAAACGTAGCTGTCTATTGAACAGCAAAATTATAGTATAGTTGATGTGTATTTCAATAATACCAATGATATTGTAGTTAAACATATATTGTAGTAATACATGTTTTTTATATATATCATATAAAGAGAGTGAAACTTATATAAAAACTTTTTTCAACAAAATTTCAAAATCATTGTTTGAATATATCGTTTGTGACGATGCGTTGCCTTCAAGCCATCAAAAAAAATGTCTCTATACTTACCGTTCAGTTATAAATTGCGGCAACAATTGTCAGTTATGGATAGATAGATATAAATAAATGTCTATATAGTAGTAGTAGTAGTAGTAGTACTGTATATAACATAGTATTTATATTTATACCGAAAATGTGTCTATTGATCCCTTTGCGGCACAGGTAGCTCTTGTGAAGTGAAGAAAAAATTACTTATTGAGAGCCTCTCTATCACTATATATAAATTTACTGTATATATATGGTTAGTGTCAGTACTTTATTTGCTTACCAGTGCCTCTTAAATGGCAGTGGCATTGAAACACATGAGTAAAGTACCTCAAAGTTCTTTCTGTTGTTAACTTAATGCAAACATTAGTGTGTTTTCCACCACTTCTTGAAACACAAAGTTTATGTGTTTTGTCTATAATTTTCTATTTTTTCTTTTAAATCCTTTAAACTCTTCTTTTATTTTCTTCTAATCTCTCTCTCTCTCTCTCTCTCTCTCTCTCTCTCTCTCACTCACTCACTCACTCACTTACTTACTCACTCACTCACTCACTCACTTACTCACTCACTCACTCACTCACTCACACAATCATACCACTGATTTTAATAAAGCATTTCCAAAAATTTGGTGATAGAGAGGGTATACACAATATGACACACTGTGGGGTATCAAATGATGTATTGGCCAAACAGTTACTAATTGTTTGGCAACGCGTAAAATATAGAGTCCGGGAATATTATTAGCGACTTTCAAGTCATTAACGAATCGCACACTCATTCTCTCTCAGCTTTTTTACCCCCGAAAGCCTATCTGTTCTCACAATTTGAGAAAACTGTAGGCATTTTGTGTGTGTCTAAACATTTTCCACAATCTAATAGCACATACATCTCACTCTCACTCACTCACTAACTCTCTCTCACACACATTGTTTATAATATACTGTACTGTATATACAGTTAGTTATATGGTCTGTAATCACTAGTCGTGAAGTTTCAAACTTAATAAAAAAACTTTTTTGTTTAGTTTTCTGGCCTATTGTAGACATATATATATATTATAGTATGCTATGTATGTAGTGTTTGTTTGACTACAAATTGAATTGAAAATTATGCGAAACCAATGAATGTCTCAATCTTTTTGTGTTTTATTTAACATTTTGTTTCAAAAAAGCAATAATTGCTTAAATTGTCTGCAAAGTACTGTTTGAGAGAGAAATAGTAAAATAGACATAAATTTTTATTTTTTAAAAAAAACGCTAAATATTTTGTTGACACGACTTGTAATTTAAATTGTAATTTATTTTTGCAGTTGATGTGTTACTTTAACTAAATGTCTATTTTTTAAATTGTAAAACAAAAGTAATTTCCAACTACATGAGCCCGAAAAAATACATA